GTTTAAGCAAGATTTTGCAAGGCCTTGATGGATTTCATTCAAACAATACTCCAATCTTCACCATCAAAGAGATATAATCTAAGCCGTGGGAAGTGGAACAAGATGGTGGAGTTGATAAGATTTGATAAGTTTAAAATGAAATAGCAGTTTTCATCATAACACATCAGATGGGGAATTCAACTGATTTTCTGTTTGTACAGTGGTAAAATTCCATTATAAGGTGAATAAAGCTACAGATTTTGAGCCGATTTGGTTCTCCATAAGTTACTTATTTTCAACTCCAGCCCTTTTAAAAAAATTAGAGCATATTTGGATGAGCTTTTGGCTCATCTTAATTATGAACACAAGTGGTATTGAAAGCACGATTTTCTTTAAGCTCATCTGAGATGCTTTTTGAACTTAAATCATGCTTATGGTTGGTGGACCGTCAGAATAATAATTACTTGTCACATCATTTTTCTCTCACTCGTCCCTCATTATTCACTCAAAGCTCTCGTTCTCTCCCACACTCATTCTTCTCTGCCGTGGGACATCACAACTCCGTTGAGTCCTCGCCATTAGCTTTGTTGCGTCTTGGCCATCAGTTCTACTCCCTCTCTGTCGTGAGCTCCGTCTCGCGTTGGGTCTAGTGTAGGGTCATCTCCTTCTGTTACTCTTTCATAGCCACTCCAAACCTTTTCCCTTGTCTGATCTATAGTCACTGTCTCCCAGCTGATACCTGCTATCTGACCTTTGCATGTAAGTTGTGCTTGGAGATCTTGGCCTCCCAGTGGAATAAACTCTTCGATCTACTGGTGTCAACCTTCATTGTCGCCAATCTGGTATAGGTTGGCAGAAAAAATTTTTCTCTTGCTTTTTCTGTTGGAGTCCCTAAAGTTTCAATGCGATCTAATTGTTCCTTCCATGCGGAGTTTTTTGTGTTGTTCATCTGTGCCTTTGCTAATTTGTTTAATGTTTTTGGTCCTCTGTTATTGGCTGATCTCTGTCATTGGTCTTGTTCACCTGTGACATCTTTGGTTTCAAAAGTTTAACCAATACATATGATGTTGGTCTGATTTACTTTTTTTTTTTTTTTTTATAATTAAAGAAAAGAGTTTCATTGTAGAACTTCACGCAATTAACTGAGAGTCTAAAACTTGTGTCAATACCTTTTTTCTTACCTATTTGAACTATTAGGCAAAGACTGTTGTTTTGGATGTTGTGACGAGTGCTCTGATGAAAGGGGAGGAGAAAGTGGGATTTAAAAAAAAAAAAGCATTCCCTGTCCTCATTCTTTTCAGCTGTTTATCTCCTCTAACATTGCTCTTTTCATCGTTTCCCAAACCATTACAACGACAAGAAACGCTTTGTATAGTTAATGAAGCTATTGCCTTAACTCAGTTTTTGTTAATGAAAGGTTTAGTTACCTAGATACAGGTTGAATCTCACTTTTGGTTTGCCGACTTCTTCTAATTCTTTTGGTCTTTTGAAGCTTGTACATATCTTTTGAGTAATAAGAAACTCCTTTTCATTGAACCAAACAAAAAAGAACTACGCAACCGTCTAGTGGTTTGTGAATTTGGCTTATACCAATGATTTCAAGCTTGTCACATTATCATGAATTTTAATTTAAAAATAATTTTATCCATTGAAATTATGTTTCACTCTACATTTACAATAATTTTTTTATGATATCTTTAATGTTTTAAAATACATTTCAGTTATGAAAGTTCGATTCTTCATATTAAAATAATTTAAATTTATTGGATTATGTAAATTCATTTTTTAGTCATTTTTCATTATTTAATAAAACTCATACTCATTTTGGTAATTTTACAAATTCCACTTTCTAATTCAAGTTTATTGTATTATGTAAATTCATTTTTTTATTATCTAATAAAACTCATTCTTGTTTTGGTAATTTTACGAACTAAACTTACTTTTATTCAATCATAATTCAAATAACCTTTTATCCAATCTAATTTTTACAAACTAACTTTTATAAAATTCAATCCAAACAAAATTCACACCACCTAATTTAATTTTTACTCAATCTAACTTTTTTAAAAGTCAAATTGATAATAAGCTATTTTTTCTATTGCTAGTCCAAATGGACCCTTATATATTAAGAATTAATTAATAACTAAATGCTAATGTTGTATACCATAAATCTGCAAGTACTTGTGATAGCATAATATCACATAATTATCTATTGAATATGAGTTTCCTGTTCTCTTGTATTTTCCCATCTCATGATAATCCTAATGTCTGTTTGGATTAGCTGTAGAAAAAGTAACTTATTTTCAATTTGACTTTTAAAAAAGTTAGATTGGGTAATGTGATTTATATTTGTATTAACTTTGATGAAAGTTAGTTTGTAAAGTAAAAAAGTTATTTAGATTATGAGCAAAAAGTAAGTTTAGTTTGTATGATGATCAATTAAATAATATAAAATGATTAAAATGAATTTATAAAATATAATAATTTTAAATTATTATAATTGGGAAAAGTTATAGTTGATGAATAAATTATATTTAAATTAGAAATCATAGTAATGTGAAAATTTTTAAACCAAATAATATTACATAATTAATTGGATGATATACTCTACATAATTTATGTAAATATGTAATAAAAATAATATTAAAAATTTTAAATATTATAAAAATTATTAAAAATTATTTTTAAGTAAAAATTGATTGGGAAGCATAAAAAATATATAAAAAGAAGCATAAGAATAGCATAAGTCACAAATAAGTTTTAGGCGTTTTTGCAATCGTGCTTAAAAAAATAGCTTTTCACACATAAGTGAGATTGGTCAAAAGCTGTGTTCTCAAATTTACAAACCAAACTATTACACCTATAAGTTACTCCCGCCAACACCTTACCAAACAGGCTGCTAGTAGATTTTAACTGCCTGTCATAACTGGGAATTTAGTGGACCACAATGACCAAGAAAATCCTGTAAAGTAGCTCTGCTTGCACCGAGAACTACCCGTTGTTCAACTTTGAAGAACTCTCTGTTTCCTAAATTCCCCATGCCTAATCCGCTGGTTACTGAGTCAAAGAGAAATTCAGTTAAGGTTTGCCTAGATACGTTTTGCTCTCTTAATGGTCTTCCGAGTGCTCCTTTGCCTCGACTGAAGAGCTTTTAGTCGGGAAGGAGAAGTATTTTTGGGGCCCAGAAGAACATGAACATGAAACAAGAAGATCTTAAAACCTGGCAGGCTAGGGAAACGAAGGTAACAACAGGATCTCCTTTTTCATTGAACATAGGGTACCGGAATTATTTTGATGCTTTTATGGAAAACAAGTCTAACTACCCTTTACAGGAAGACCTCAATGGGCAAGAAAGGGCACTGGATCAAGTCTGCCCTATCTTCCCTTTCTTGTTTCTCCTATCTTCATGGTAATACTTGTTGCCTTGCGGAAGAGAATTTAAACAATTTTTTTTGTATATAAATATAGACATCTGTTCACTCTCACACCTCGTCTTCTTTCATAGCTGTGAGGTTCCAGAGAAAGTGAAATCGGTGTGTTATTCATTTGTGTCACTGTCACATAGATACACTTAATAATAAATAGTGTTAACCCTCATCTGTGCAAAGGCTACAGCTGATACTTGAAACTACTCATAACCATACATAACTACTTCTGTCATCTACTCCCCATAATGGTTTTGGTGCTGTTGTGTAAGTGAAGTAATATCTTCTAAATTACATGGAATTTAAGAAATAAGTCTCAGTGGTCTAATGTGACTGTGTGATCTACCCCACTCAATGAAATAAAACTTGTTATTGTTGCTCGCAACTTGTGAACAACGTAGCTTACTATAAATTTTTATTTGATGTTGATGATGACTGATGACTCATCTTATTAACACAGAGAAGAATGGAAAGTTGCTACCACCACACTTGGTTCTTGAAAAATGATAGTGTTATGAATATGGTTCATTTGGAACTTGCAAAAGCCCGTTAGGACTGTTAGTTTCACACTTCAAATCCATAGAAGGTTTTAAGAGATGTGTGTGTGTTGGAAGATCAAAGTTTGCCTCCAAGACAAATGTATAGACTTCTATTTGGATGGCAGTATTTAAGAGTAAAACCATCTATTCGCAAACTCTTGGTGCCAATAAGAAGAAACATGGCTTGCATTTGTTTGAAGCTTAATTGAAGGCTTGTAATTTTGTGCTTCATAAAAACGACATAACATTTAAAGAAACGCTGTATTTTGGTAGCGCTCATGCCTTTGAGGTGACATAAATTTGATTAACCATCCAATAAAGAAAAACTGAAAATTACTAAATTTTAAGTAAGAAATTATAACAAAAAAATGTTGTTATTTATGAGTCTAGTATTATCAAAAATTATTAAGACATTTTTATCAAATCTGATTTGGGATTTAGTAATTTCAAATTTCTTTTCATAGGATTCTTCCTTATTCATAAGTTAAAAATACTATAATTTATTTTTCAAGCAAGAGAGATCAAATAACTGTGTAACCTTTTTTTTTTATAATATATATGAATAATTTATGGAAAGATATAATTAATTGAATCATAATGTATCAATACATAAATTCATTTATAAAAGTAACGTATTACACTCTTATAGTCAATAAAGATTAGTTTAATTAGTAAAGATATATCTCTTATCTTATGAGGATGTAGTCATTGTAGTGAGTCTCCAGAATTCAATCAAAAACAGAAATAAAACAATGTTTGGCCAAAAAAAAACCAATGGAATGATTTTTTTTTTTTTGAGCAAAACAATGGAATGAATTTGATAGTTAGATTTTTTTTTTTTTTGTGACCCGACGTTAGAAGTCAGAACTGGGAACTTGAAAGTCAAATCCTTTCTGGCGTGGTTGACAGTTATGGCGGAAAGCTGAACGCATTTTCTTGCTTCACTCACCAAAACCACAAAGTCACACCTTCCTTGCATTGCAATAACCTTTCCCACTTCTGCATTTTCATCTCGTTCTTTTCGTTTTGCATTTGTACAAGCAGAACAACTTCATCTATGGCGGGAGCTTTGGTTGGTGGTGCTTTTCTTTCTGCTTTTCTTCAGGTGGCTTTCGATCGGCTGGCTTCTCGGGATGTTCTGGACTTCTTCAAAAAGCCAAAATTGAACCAGACATTGCTCAATAAGCTGAAGATCGTGCTGTTATCCATCGACGCTGTGGTTGACGATGCAGAGCAAAAGCAGATCACCAATCCGAAGGTGGAGGAGTGGATCGATTTGGTCAAAGATGCTGTGTTCGATGCTGAGGATGTCTTGGATGAGATAGATTATGAAATGTCCAAGCGCAAGCTGGCAGCTGAACAAGAGAGTCAAACCAGTGTTATTGGCAAGGTACGAAACTTCTTTGGTACTCCCGGTTGTTCATTTGAGAAGGAAATTGAATCCAAGGCCAAAAATGTCCTTGAAAATCTAGAATATCTTGCATCTCAAAGGGATATATTAAGATTGAATGAACGTGATAGTGGTGCTGGATTAAGAAGTGCTATAGCAGATAGATTGCCAACTACATCTTTAGTGGATGAACATGGAACATATGGCAGAGATGATGAAAAAAATACCATCATTGAATGGCTGCTGTCAGAAAAGTATAAGAACCAATTATCTGTTATTTCTATCGTGGGTATGGGTGGTTTGGGTAAAACTACTCTTGCCCAGCTGGCATACAATGATAGTAGGGTGATGGATAGATTCAACCTCAAAGTATGGGTATGTGTCTCTGATGAGTTCAATATGTTGAGGGTAACAAGGACAATTTATGAGGCAATCACTGGATCAAAAGATGATACCAATGATTTTAATATGCTTCAAATTAAATTAAAACAACAACTAACTCGAAAGAGATTTCTCCTTGTTTTAGATGATGTATGGAATGAAGATTATCTGCGATGGGAGGCCTTGCAGTCACCATTCAATCATGGGGCTCAAGGAAGCAAAATTCTTCTAACCACTCGCAGTGGAAAAGTTGCTTCGACCATGCGTTCTGCTAAGATACTTTCATTGAAGCCGTTATCGGAAGGAGATAGTTGGTCATTGTTTAGCAAATATGCCTTCCATGATGGAAATGTTCTTTGTTCAAACTCTGACCTTGAAGAAATTGGTAGAAAAATAAGTAAAAAATGCAAAGGACTGCCTTTAGCTTTGAAAGCCATTGGGAGCCTCTTGTACACAGTATCATCTCATGAGAGGTGGAATGGTATTTTGAAAAGTGAGATTTGGGAGGAAAAAAGCGATAGCAAGATTCTCCCTGCTTTGAGATTGAGTTATTGCTACCTGCCCTCTCATCTGAAAAGATGCTTTGCTTATTGTTCAATATTTCCCAAAGATTATGATTTTGATAAGGAGCATTTAATTCAATTGTGGATGGCAGAAAATTTTCTGACATGTGCTCATCAAAGCAAAGATGGGAGAGAAGTAGGAGAACAATTCTTTCATGACCTGTTGTTGAGGTCACTTTTTCAACGATCAACAATAGATGAAACCCGTTTTGTCATGCATGACCTTATTAATGATATGGCAAAAGTTGAATATGGAAAGTTTAGCCACAGGTTTGAGGTAGATGATGTAAATAATTTGACAAAAATGACCCGGCATATTTCATTTTTGAGAAACGATGTTGATCCATCCAAACAATTTGAGGTTACATACCAGGCTAATAAGTTGCGCACATTCTTGCCTCTATCCATGCAGGGTCATAGAAGTACAGGCTATACCTCTATTAGTCACTTTATATCTCACAAGGTTATTAACGATTTGCCATCCAAGTTTATTTGCATGCGAGTTTTATCTTTGTGTGATCATATTGTCTTGGAGATTCCTGAATCAGTAGGAAATATGAAACATCTACGTTATTTGGACTTATCAGGAACTAGAATAAGGAAGTTGCCTGATTCAATATGTCAACTTCATCGTTTGCAAACATTAAAGTTGTGGCGTTGTCGTCTTTTGGAAAAATTGCCAACGGATTTTCATAAACTCATGAATCTGCGTCACCTTGATTTTCGTGAAACTCAGGTGAGAGAGATGCCGAAGCAATTGGATACATTGAAAAATCTTCAAGTTCTGTCACCATTTATTATAGAAAAATCTGGAGAGACCAACATCAAACATTTAGAAGGACTTAATCTTCATGGATCAGTTTCCATCTTGGAATTGCAGAATGTGGTTTCTCCCTCACGTGCTTTAGCAGTCAATTTGAGAAGCAAGATACACCTTAAGGAGTTAACATTGGAATGGTGCATAGACAATAGAAAATCACACCATGACAAGGATGTGCTGGAGAACTTCCAACCTCATCAAAATTTGAAAAAGCTATCAATTGGCAACTATGGTGCTATCGAGTTTCCAAATTGGCTTGCTAATCATTTGTTGTCCAATTTAGTGTCCCTAGAGCTAAGGCATTGCAAATACTGTAGATCCCTGCCATCACTTGGCCTCTTTCCATCTCTCAAGTCATTGTCAATTATAGGGTTTCATAGCATAGTAGCTATTGGTCCAGAATTTTGTGGAAATAGCTCTAATGCTTCATCTCTAGAAATCCTAAGGTTTGGAGATATGAAGGCCTGGGAAGAATGGAAATGTGAAATTTTGTCTCTTACTTTCCCTCATCTTCAAGAGTTGAGTGTAGAAAATTGTCCCAAATTGAAAGGGGAACTTCCTCAACAACTTCCTTCTTTAAGGATGCTAGTAATTTCCAATTGTGAGAAGCTTTTGTCTTCAATTCCATGGGTTTCATCTCTTGATAAACTGGTTCTAAAAGATTGTGGAAACGAGCAGTTGGAAAGTCTTCCATCAGCTCTAAGAGTCCTTGAGATTTCTGGATGCTTCGAAAAATTATTATCAGTCGACAAAATTGAAAATATCATTGCCAATTATAGCCTTGAAGAGTTGAAGTTTTCTGATTGTCCTCACCTAGAATTCCCATTGAGATCTTGTCATAACTTCGTCCTTGAAATGGATATAAGAGGAAGCTGTGACTCTCTTAAGTCGTTTCCACTAGATTTATTCCCAAAGCTTCAATCATTGAAGTTGATTGACTGTAATAATCTTGAAATGATATCTGTTTTAGAGGGGCACCATTATTCTCTTACAAGCTTGTACATACGAAAGTGTCCTAAATTTGTATTTTTCCCTAAAGGAGGGTTTTTGGCTCCCAAACTAGAATTTTGTTGCATTGAAGAATTGAAGAATTTGAAATCGCTCCCAGAGAACATGCACATTCTCTTTCGCTCCCTCACATATCTGTTAATAAAATGCTGCCCGCTAGTGGAATCATTTGCAGGAGGAGGTTTCCCATCAAATCTCAAATATCTTGAGGTCTTAGAGTGCCCGAAACTCATAGCCTCTCGAATGGGATGGCATCTACGTAGCTGTACATCACTACATTTCATACATATTGGAGATGCAGATGATGAGTCTCTTCCTGATATTGGACTACTTCCACCTACTCTTATTTGCCTTCTGTTTCATAACTGCCCCAATCTTAGATCATTGGAACACAAAGGTCTTTGCCACTTAACCTCTTTGGAACTCTTGGGATTTTGTGGCTGTCCTAAACTCCAATACTTTCCAAAGGAGGGTTTGCCTAGTTCCCTTTGTCAACTAAGGATTAGGGGTTGTCCCTTGCTCAAAAAGCGGATCCAAAGGCAGAAAGGAAAATATTGGGCAAAGATTTCTCGCATTCCTTTTGTTAGCACTGAAGATGATGTAGTAGCAACTTTAAGTGAGCTTCTCACTGATGATGGCATCAGTTCTCCTGCTATCCATTCACTCATTAGGTATATATTTAGTCCCTTTTTAAATGTCAAATCATGAACATATTTTCCTTTCTTTTGGCCATTTGTTTTAGATTGAAAGATTCATGTATTTGAATGTTATCCAAAGAATGTGCCAAATGATTCATAATTCGTAAATAATTCACTTGTTATAGATTTCAAATCATATATTATTCATAGAAATATGCCTCTATTTTTGCACCGATTTATTTATAGATTTACTTGATTATTTGAATTTTTATTTTCCTTTTTGTAGATATCAAAGATAGCAGCACTGCGCAGAATGAACATGATTTTCTTTAAATAATAAGCTCTTTTTTCTCCTGTCATACGCTTCAAATTCTAATTAGGAAACAATTGGTCCTATATCATGTATTAGAGAACAACTTCGGTTTAAAATTGAACAAAAAGAAATAATATGATTTACTTATCAAGCATATTATCTTGCTGTGTCCAAATATGACTTTTTTTTTTAATTTTACTAAAAGCAGATGAAAAGATGCAATTCTAGTTCTAGTTTCAATCTAAGAACAATTTAGTATTTTTAAAAGGGATTTAGTCCTTAAATATTATGAACTCTTTTTAACCAAACTCAATTTAACTCGACTGTTTAATAAAAAGAGTGATTGTGATGTGGTTCATGAGCTTTGGTTGGTGAAATTCGCCCAAATTAACTTGGTTTCCGTTGCTGTTGAATTTGACAGTTGGGAGAAGCGAGTTTAATCGTGCAACAAGTCCAAACTCCAGAGCCTGTTCAGACTAAACTCTAGTGTGTAGAGCTGTTCTTATTCAGGCTACATTGATCTTTTTGTCGCTGATTACCAATTGTACTTCAGACATACTATCTATCATAAAGATTGCCTAACACAGGTTTTTAGATGGTCATCTCGACAGAACATCGTCTGAAGGTGAGCACTTGATGATTGTATCAACCACAAATTGTACCAGCTTCACAAAGGTACACGGCAACTGTTATACTTCTTTAATATTGGAAGTATGAGAAAGAGGGAAAGAGTGGAAATGAAGGAAGATAAAAGAGAGAACAAAGGGACGAGATAGACTGAGATTTGCATTTCTACTCACTAATAGGAGTACACATATTTGATGTTTGTATATTGGGGTACATTTATAGGCAGGGGAATAAGGAATTAATAATGGCTAGTTTGTTAACTAACTGACGGCATTGCACCTAACTTATCTACCCTTGTGTTAGAATTTAGAAACACATAACATACATTTATAGTCATGTATTTTGTACTGTTTTTTATTATTCTTTTGGGTGATGCCAAAGGGACAAGTCCAATACATAAACATGATACTATTAGAGTGTCAAAGCATAAGATTTTTTTTGCATGTCCCTGCATCCCAGATCTTTCAAATAGTTATGTTTACTTTTCAGTTATAAAAACAAAATATATCATGAGTCCGTGGAATGAATTCCATGCATTTTGAAATCCCAATGAAAAAAATCTTAAGGGCATTATGCAAACAGAAACTGATTCACTTTTCTTTTGTTTGACAGGCTCTCATATTGTGTCTACTGAACATAAGAGACTCTTCTCCTCATATAGTCCAATTTCTAATGAAGGTCCCCTCCTTTTCCCTTAACATGAGGAGCAAGATAGCACATCCCTTGCTTAAAGATATATCATGATAGAGCAAGACAGCCCTTCAATTACTCAGTGTTCATTCAGAAATACAACTCCCATGAAATAGATTGCCAAGAAGATGGTGTGCTTTCAATGCTGCTGAAAGCCTATATTCTTCACGTTCTAAGTTTCTATTGGTCTTGCAGTATATGTTCTTTTAAAGTTGAGTTTTTGAGTAGATATTGTAAGCAATAACTTCCCTTATTTCCTGAGTAAAATTCTAGCTGTTTGGGATTGCATTAGGGTGTCAAGGCCTTAAAGGGCATCGCTGCTGTAGATAGCTTACTGGTGTCATCCTTGCGGATAGTAAAAACTTGATTACCTTCTTAATTAAACTTCAAATTTGTGTCCAGATTTTTATATGCTGTTTGATTTTCTTACCTCATCTCTTCTTCATCTTCAATCACTTCTCTTGTATAAATCATTTGGCCAGAAGAACTTTATTTTAAAAATAATATTTTATTGGTTTCAACTTCGCTATGAAACTGTTACAAATGAGATATTCACAGCATTGCACTAAGTATATAAATACACACACACACACACGTGATTCTAGCATAATGCAAGACTATAGTATTAATAATGAAGTGATTCATTCAAAGCAGAGTAACTAGTTGTTTAAAACGACTTAGCAACTCCTCTTATATATTTATTTTTAATTTATAGCTTTAAGAAAATTAATTCAGAATTTGCCTAAATTCTCATTCACCAAAGTCAACCGGTGGGTGCATGTCTATACAAGCATTTATTGATTCTGGTTTTCGGCCACGACTGTGACAAATATTTTATTTGGGCATGAATTCCTCTTCGTATTAGTAGCACTCTCGAGCTTCCTTCGGAGCATGAACATTGGAAAAAGGCATAAAACAATGACTTGGCAGGTGACCCTAATACAGGTTATGTTACCTGTGGTTTAAGGAAGATTTCTCAAGGCCTTGATGGATTTCGTTCAAACAATAAAATCTTTACCATCAAAGAGATATAATCTAAGCCATGGGAAGTGGAACAAGTTGGGGGAGTTGTTAAAATTTAAGAAGTTTAAAATGAAATAGCAGTTTTGACAATGTGTGAGATGAGCGCTTCAATTGGTTTTTATTTTTGGTACAGTGATAAAATTCTAATATAAGGCCAATAAAACTAGAGAGTTTGAATATTAAGAAGTACATGATCACTAAATGCTGATGCTGTATACCAAAAATCTACAAGTACTTGTGTTAGCATAATATCACATAATTATCTGTTGAATATGAATTTCTTGTTATATTGCGTTTTCCCATCTCATGGTAATCCTAGTAGATTTCAACTGTCTGTCATAACTAGGAATTTAGTTGAGATTACAATGACCAAGAAATCCTGCAAAGTAGCCCTGCTTGCACCGAGAACTACCCGCGCGTTTTTCAAGTTTGAAGAACTCTGTCGCCCAAATGCCCCATGCCTAATCTGCCGGTTACTAAGTCAGAGAGAACTTCAATTAAGGTTTTCCCGTATACACTTTGCTCTCTTAATGGTTATCAGCATGGTCCTTTGCCTCCACTGAAGAGCTTCTTGTGGGAAAGGAGAAGTAATTTTTAAGACCCAGAAGAGCATGAACATGAAGCAAGAAGAACTAAGCCTTCAAAGATTAAAGGTGCCCCCTTCAAAACAGAATTTCTGGTATTGAGCAAATTGTCAATGACGACAATTCTGCATGTGATGATGCGGAAGTAGATTTTATCGAAATCTACGCCAATGTAGAGAAACATGAAGCAAAACCAACAGCAACAGGTCATGGACATGAAATGAGAAAAGTAGAATCCTCTGAAGAGCTTTAGAATCAATAAGTTGAGAATAGCTAGGCTTCAAGAGAGGATCTATGTGTGATGAGTCCCCTGAGCTTGATTCAAATTCCAAGAAAGGTTATAATTAAATAATATTTGACAATGCACATATTAACATGCTCTGACTTCTCTGCCTGAGCCTGGCACAAAAACAGGGGACCATTTGTTTTCATATACTTGTTGCCATGCATGATGGGTTAATTCTTAAAACCTGGCAGGCTAGGGAAATGAAGGTGACAACAGGATCTCCATTTTCATTGAACACATGCTACCAGAATTATTTTGATGCTTTTATAGAAAACAAGTCTAACTACCCTTTATTATTTCTCCTATCTTCATGGTAATACTTGTTGCCTTGCAGAAGATTATATAAACAGATTTTTTTTTTTTGGTTGATGACGATTGATGACTCATCTTATTTGCAAAGAATGGCAAATTGCTGTTACTGCACTTGATTTTTGGAAAAGATAGTCTTATGAATATGGTTCATTTGAAACTTGCAAAAACCTTTTAGGCCTGTCAAGTTCACACTTCAAATCCATAGAAGATTTTGAGATACATATGTATACATATACTAGAAGATCAAAGTTTGCCCTAAGACAAATGCACAGCCATCTATTTGGATTGTAATTTTTTTCCTTTAAATAAAAGGAAAAATGAAAATACATTAACTCACAAGAAGAAAACTGAATTGAAACTAAAATTAGTAAACTGTGATAAGAAAAATTGATTGGCAACATATATGTCCACTTTATAGAATATAGAAGCATGAGCTATGCATCCTCTAAAGTGGACATTATGAAGAAGAAGAATGGCTTGCATGCTTGTTTAAAATGGCTTAAAATATAATTTACAGAATATGAAGTAAGTATATGAAAAAATATCTCGATTTACGTAAACATACTTATAAGTGCCTATAAATCATAGCTTTAAACAAGCGCATAATATTTGTTTTAAGCTTAATGAACCTTGATGACATGACATACCAACTAATTGGCAACGTTATAAAAATACATCTCAAATCCCATAAGAATGTAACGAGTCTCTAAAATTTAACTTATCTAATTTTTTTAAAAATAAATTACTACCTCCGGTCCTAATTATAAGAGCTAGTTGACTAATTTGAGGAGATTAAAGAAAGAAGTTAAGTTGATTATTTGTAATAAATAAATGTTATTTTTTCTAAAATATCCTTACTAATTAAGTGTATTAGCTAGAACTACTATTGCTAGAAAGACTACCTTGGATAAATATGAGAGACAAAGTGGATTGTGATCTTATATTTAAGACCAAAATATAAAAAAAAACAAAATCTTATAGGGAAAACCATATTGAAGGTACCTATACTTTTCCTCAATTTTTAATTTGGTACCTATGTGTTTTTTTCCCTTTAATTAAACATATAATTTTATTTTTTTAGCAACATTAGCTCTTATAACTTTGTTCTATTGATATTTTTAGTCTCTATATAAGGATTAATGATGTTAATAGAGGAAAAATAAAAATTTAGTTAAGAACAAAAAACATATAGGTACCAAATTGAAAATTGAAAAAAAGTATAGGTACCTCCAATATGGTTTTTCCAATCTTATATTAAGGACAGAAGGTAATACATCCTTATTAAAAAAAGACATATTTTTCTATTTAAAATAATTATAATCCATTTCTAGTTTTGCAAATATATAAATATATACACACACACACTAATATCTCTTGTTATAAAAATGAATTACAATTGCACTATTGTAGAACTACCATGTATCATATTTAACATCTATTTAATATGAAAATGGATAATGAGATCTCAAATGTTAATAAAACATTTTTAAATGTTAACATGTCAAGTTTAATTTTTAAAATAACCAAGATTGTTATAACAAATAATCATTTAAAGCAAATAATTTTCAAGTTAAGTGACTAAAAATATATTTAAGTTAAGGAACTAAAACTGAAACTTTGTATAAAATTAACGGACTTAAAATATACTTTATCCATATAAGGAGTATCAAATATTCATTTCATTAACAAAAAATACAACACGCTTATTTTTGGCCCACCAAATAAAACAAAATTTAAATAAAAAAAAAGCATACTTCAGCGACGAATCTCCTTTGAGCTGTAAAGCACAATGCACCATCGTTTTGGTGTTAAGCACAATCTCCAGAAGACTTTACAATGTCAAAGAAATATAATAACAGTCCCTCCCTTTTTTAATGTAAGATTTATTTAATTAATTTAATTAAATTATAAAAATTAGGTAATTTAGTTAATCATAAAAATATGATATGTTTTTCATAAAATGTCATAGTTATTTTTCTTAATATCTGCCCTCTCTCTTTTATGATTTAAGAAGTATCAGTACGGATAATTTAAAAAAATTAATAATATAAAAAACAGGTTTTATATTATATTTAGAACTAAAAACTAAAATCAACTTAATAATTAGATGCTGTATTAAGCCGAAGAGTATAATAATGCCAGCATGATAAAAATAAACCATTTTCCAACCACCATGGCCAACCCACTTTGCCTTTGCCATAACCGCTGCCGCTTCTGCGTTTAGTTCTTAGTGACACCCTGCCGGTGTGATAAAAATAAACCTTTTTTCAACCACCATCGCCAACCCACTAGGCCTTTGCCATAAACATTCCCACTACTGCTTCTAAATCTTAGTCACACACTGCCAGTGCTTGCATTGCAATAAACTTTCCCACTTCTGCATTTTTTTTTTTCGTTTTGCATTTGCAGAAGCTCAACAACTTCATCTATGGCGGGAGCTTTGGTTGGCGGTGCTTTTCTTTCTGCTTTTATTCAGGTGGCTTTCGATCAGGTGGCTTCTGGGGATGTTCTGGAATTCTTCAACAAACCAAAATTGAACCAGACACCGCTCAATAAGTTGAAGATGGTGCTGTTATCCATCGATGCTGTGGTTGACGATGCAGAGCAAAAGCAGAGCACTAATCTGAAGGTGAAGGACTGGATTGATATGGTTAGAGATGCGGTTTTCGATGCTGAAGATGTCTTGGATGAGATTGATTATGAAATGTCCAAGCGCAAGCTGGAAGCTGAACAAAAGAGTGAAACCATTGCTATGGGCGAGGTACGAAACTTCCTTAGTGCTTCTGTTAGTTCATTTGAGAAGGATATTGAATCCAGGATGAAAAACGTCATTGAAAATCTAGAATATCTTGCATGTCAAAGGGATATATTAAGATTGAATGAACGTGATGGTGGTGCTGGCTTGAGAAGTGTTGTGCCAGACAGATTGCCAACTACATCTTTAGTGGATGAAAATAGAACATACGCTAGAGATGATGACAAAAAATCCATCATTGAACGCTTGTTAGAAAAGTATAAAAACAAACCATCTGTGATTTTTATAGTGTGGTATGCGCCGGTGAGACTACTCTTGCCTAGCTTGTTTATAATGATAGACGGACGGTGGATGGATTCAACCATAAAGTATGAGTCTGTGTCTCTGATGAGTTTGATGTGTTGAGGGTAACAAGAACAATTTACGAGGCAATCGCTGGATCTAAAGATGATACCAATAATTTAAATGTGCTTCAAATTAACGTGAAACAAGTAACTCAAAGAGATTTCTCATTTATAAAACAAAAGAGTTGAAAATATGTTGTATATAACTGAAAAAGTTGCATCTATTTTCACCTATGATTTAAACAAATTTCAATTATAAATTTTTAATCATGACTTTTTCAGCAATTTCTCCATCCTAAATAATAGGCAGAATAAGTTGGTAAAAAAAACATGAGGTAAAAATAAGAACAAAATTATGTTTAGACGGTCTGCTATAAACGGTCTACATGTGCCCAATAATCCAATGGCGGGATCCGTTCTTGCCTTATCTAACCAGAAAGCGGGGAGCGCTCACTCTTTCTTATTACAGTGATTCCATCTTCCCGATGGCTTCTTCCTTTTCTCACCTTTCAAACACCTTCTCAAATCTCTGTTAGTTCTCTTAGCATCCTCAAAATTATGGCTTCTTTACAGCCTTCATGGTTCTCTCCAGTTGAGCAAAACATTGCTGCGAGTTCGGTTGAAAAATCAAATGGGAATGACGGGTTGAGTTCGGGTCAAAATGTTGTTGATGATGGTGGGCAGAAGGAAGTGCCACTGTCTCTGAAGAAGAAAATTTTGCTAAAGAAGAACGAACAAGAGAATTACTTACGGCCTACAAGAAGAAAATTGGGTTAAATATTGAGCCAAAGATAAAATCTGAGTGTGAGGAGGAAAGTTTATATAATGGCATCGAAAGTATTTCAACTCTTGCCTCACTATCACCGGCTAAATGGATTTAATTTGCTTGGTTGACTTACAAAAAATAAGATGTAGACTTCATTTGTTAATTAGTTTGAAGAAATTCATGTCATTATGATTTCACACATTCGTAAAAGATATGTTCTTATGTATTCATGAAAATCATATCTTGTGACATCCAAATTTTGCATTGCAACAAACTTCTACTGACTCAGTCTCTATTTTTGTTTATGGATTTATTTGTCCAAATCTTGAGCTGCTTATTAGGACTTTGTGAGCATAATTATGCCAAATAACATAATGCTTACAGGCATTGAAGGAAGGTGACTCATTAATGAATGCTGGAAAGCTGAGAGAAGCATTGCCGTTCTATGAAAAGGTTATGGGGAAATTAACTTTTAAGGTAACTGCTACTTGCTAAAACTGAAACAAGTACAAGTTATCTTTTTGCTTAGTAAGTTTGTTAATCTCCCTCTCGACTTCACTAAATGTACTGAAAAAGAAAACTTCTTATATTAATCATGTCTCTGCAGAGTGAGCTGCATGGATTAGCTGCTTTGCAGTGGTCAATTTGTCAAGACTCCCTCAGCAGGTATATATAAACCTCCCACTGAATTTGAATACAAAAAGAAGAAAATTGAATTTACTGGATCAGCGTTATTCAAATCTTCGTGTTATATGTGTTTAATCCAGCATCTTTTATTTCTTCATTCGAGAATTAAAAAAGGTTAATTTATTTCAATGACTACTACTTATCTTTATATTTCTTTTCAAATAGTACATATCTTGCCTCCATATGTTTCATGTTCTTTTGCATGGAAAGACAAAATGCAAGCACCAAATTCTTTTATTTAGATACAAAATGTTTCAATGTGACAAAGGATATATACCTCCAACGCATGTTCATAATCCCAGAAAAAAGAACCTAAACAGAGCCTCTCACATGATATTTGAAATTCAATTTAGTTGTAACACATTGGTTTAGAAGAAATCTCTGAATACTTTCATTATAGAGAGAACCGGGGCTGTCTCTTGGTGGAGGAGTCTTTTATTCAAAAGGACAATGTTATCTACCAGATCTCCTTGCGCCAAAAAAAACTAATAATTACATTGGGAATACAGAGATCTGACCCAGAATTCAAACCCAACCAGGCATTGATACCTTCGGTTTAAGTAAGGTTTCTCAAAAGCCTTGATGTGTGTCATTCCAGAAATAAAATCTTTCCCATCAAAGCAATGTAATTTAAGCCTCAGTGAGGGAGATAATGCCAATTCGCAGGATTTCCTACCTGATGGGAGGAACAATATATGGCCAGAGAAAAGCTCGAGGTATTGAATATTAAGGATGTTGCTGATTCTGTATACCAAAAGTCTCCTGGCTATGATCATTATATCACATACCATCTATTGAATAAGAGTTGCATTTTTAATCGCCTTTGACTCTTTGTCATAACTAGGATCAGCGTTATTCAAATCTTATTTTGGGGCCGTAATAACCTCTTGATTTGAAAGGCTAGGTAGATGGTCTTTACTTTTTTCTCCTGCCTCGTGTAACAACTTGATTAATTGACAGGTCCAATGAAGCTCGACTTATGTATGACAGGTCCAATTAATTGTGTTCAGCTTTCAGGTAATTATTTTGTTCCACATGAAAATATTGCCGCTGTTTTTTTTTTTTTTTTGGGGGGGTGGGGAGGACAGGAAAGCCCCATATTTGTGAGATCATATCGACAAAAGTGGGACTCAATCTTCTCCCTCTCTCTTTTTATTTCGGTAACAATATATATCAGGGCTTCTTAATATTAATTAGATCTAGGGAGAAGTATAATCAAATCCCAAGGAAGAAAAATAATTTCTAAAAAAATCCTAATAATAACCTAATCAACCTATAATGATAGGTTCCAGAGGGGAAAATAACCATTTTTGGTACTTATTTTGTAATTATTTTTCTTCTTTGGGATCTCATTGTAATTCTCCCTTAGATCTATTTATTTTACCTCCGAATCTCATAATGCATGGTTATACTTTCATGTATTGAAAATTAATAATAATTAAATGGTTATAACTAAACAGTATTTGACAATGCACATATTAGCGTGCCCTGACTTCTCTGCCTAAGCCCGTCACAAAAATAGGAAACCTTTTGTTTTATATACTTGTTGCCATGCATGATGGGTTAAATCTTAAAACCTGGCCGGCTATGGAAATGATGGTGACAACAGGGTCTCCATTTTCATGGAACATGGACTACCAGAATTATTTTGATGCTTTCACAGAAAGTAAGTCTAACTACCCTTTACAAGAAGACCTCAATGTGCAAGAAAGGGCACTTAATCAAGTTCTGCCCTGTCTTTCTCATTTCTCCTATCTTCATGGTAATATTTGTTGCCCTGCAGAAGAGAATATAAACAGTTTTTTTTTTTTGGGGTATATAGACAACTTCTCTATTGTATATATATGTCACGCACACCATGTCTTGTTTCATAGTTGTGAGCTTCCAGGGAAAGGAGAATCGGTGTACTGTTCATTTGTATCACTGCCTTATACATACACTTAATAAATACTGTTAACCCACATCTGTACAAAAAAAATACAGCTGATGCTTGCAGCTACTTATTACTATACATAACTACCTCTGTCACCTACTCCCTATAATAGTTTTGGTGCTGTTATGGAAGTGGAGAAGTTAGATCTTCCACATTTCATGGAGTTTAAGAAACAAGTCTCAGCGGTGTAGTGTGAATGTTGCTCTACCCCGGTTAGTAGAATAAGACTTGTCATTACTACTTGCAACTTGTGAATAATGTAGCTTACTATAAGTTGGTATTTGATACTGATGACGACTGATGATTCATCTTATTAGCATAGAGAAGAATGGAAAATTGCTGCTGCCACATTTGGTTCTTGAAAAAGATAGTGTTATGAATATGGTTTATTTGGAACTTGCAAAAGTCTGTTGCTTAAGTTCACACTTTGAATCCATATAAGGTTTTGATGTGTGTGTGTGCGAAGATCCAAGTTTGCCCTGAGGCAAATGCATAGCTTCCTATTTGTACTGCAGTTTTTTTTTTCCCCCTCTTTTGAAAAAAAAAGGCAAAATGAAAATATATTAACCCATGAAATGTTTACAAATGATAGAAGAAAACTGAATTAAAACTGAAATTAATAAACTGTGATAAGAAAAACTGATTGGCATTTGGCAACATATATGTCAACTTTAGACAATGTCGAGGCCATGAGCTATATATTCTCTAAAGTGGACATTAAGAAGATGGCCTGAATTTGGTTCTTTATAAACATATTTTGATGGTCCTCATCTCTTGAATGAGTTTGAAATTTGTAGGCACTTTCATGAGTATGATTAACTAACTAATTGGTAAAGATGGATCTCAAATCCCACAAAGATGTAGAGAGTATCCAAAATCCAACTCGTCTCATTTTTTTATAAAATAAATTACGTTCTTACTAAAAAAAATACATATT